TTGGTTACGTTTATGTATTCACGAAATGCTTGCGGAAAATGCACTCTCCTGAAAATGCATCTCTCCTGAAAATGCATCTCTCCTGAAAATGCATCTCTCCTGTGACCTGTTACCACAACCAGGTCTCTCAAGTTTCAGTTAAAAAGCTGACATATACTAGATAGCACTCACGACCCAGACCCATTTCTTATATACCATTCAAGGTGGAGAAGACTGCGCTTAGCCTGGCAGTTGGCATCGCCCACTGGCGAAGTGTCAGCCAAATGCATTCACATGTAGGTAATCAAATTCCCACTAGCCAGTACTAGCCAAGCCGTGGGGGATCGCACGTCAGCAATCAACATCAGATTGCGATTCTTCAAATAGCGATAAGCTACAGTGAGTTAGAAACAATATGACTGCAACCTCCTAACCTAAACGTAACAAGTATTATTTATTACAATTGCGTTTCTTACCAACAAGCCCAGGAAAAATATACTTAATTCGACCCACGTCCTGCAGTCAGCAAGGAACGGGAACTGAACAGAACTGAAACTGTGAACAACTGAACTAGATGGGCTAACGTAAGCGCCGATTGTGGTTTCCACAATGGTGTCCACCACGATGCCTTAGACGGAGTAAAGTAGAGGACGTCACACTAGTCCATCGTAGAATGACGGCAGGCACTCTATGATGGATTTGGAGTCAGAACAGGCTTTCCGCATTGTATAGAGCTTGGAATGTTGTGCGCAATTTACGCCGCACTCCAAAGGCTTACTTGGGTTGGAGCCTAAATTCTTATGAGTTGCGTGATGAATGGAAATAGTTCTTGATGATATATCTGGGAGGTCATGTGCGATGAGCGATGCGAATGTGAGGCAAGACGATCTCGTTATTTATTTCAGATACCCTCAGCAAAAAGATGCTTACAGCAGTTTAAGTAGTACGTGAATAAGGTGTCAGGTATGAATTAGTCATTGTCGTGACAATTCACGATGAAAAATATGATCATTCATTTGATTTTATAGGAAGAAGACAACCTTTCATTGACGCTAGCGTAGGATATAGGAATGCAGAATGTCTGTACCACTTGATATTTTCAGGTTCCTAAATGAAATTTGGCAAACTTCAGTTCAGAACCAACAATATTGTCTTTGCTAGTTGGAAACCACAATAGCACAATCTTGTGCTGCTGAAAAGACCTCATAATTTATAGTACATGCTATTCCTTTTAACTTTCTGAAATGGTCTATTGATTTGGCTGGGATGTTGCCGATGTTTCTCATGCTACCATTGTCATTTTAAGTCAAATAACTCACTGACGCAACTTTTGTTAGAAATAATCGTACGCATGATTCAGCCCATGAATTCTAGAAGGATGGATTCAGCTCCTGAATTAATGCCACCATTTTTCCCTAGTGAGCCGATCTCGCCACCACAACCCATCTCAAAACAATTGATTCATGAATCGATTTAGATTCAGCTCGGGCCCGAACACACGTCTCCATGCCGCTGCACTGACATTCAGTAGCTAAACCACGTTGATCCAACTAAGAATAATATTTTTTACGCGAAATGAGAGAATTTTTACACTTTTTTCTTAAATCCATGTCTCTACTTCAATCAGATTACAGGGCAATGTCATGCCTGGCAATCAGCGCTTTGGATCCGTCCAGGGTGTCGGATGCTTCATTAGTGTCTACATCGGTGCTGTGTGCAGCAAGGCGGGCTTTCACGATCATTGAGTTCAACGCTCATTCATCGTGGACCATTTTACGAATGTAAGGTATGCATGCACTACATACCTATCAAAAGAGGCGTGACCAGGCCATAGGAGTTTTTTGTCGCGTCTGCTTCAGACATGCCAGCGATTTTTCAAGTTTCAAAAAACTAGGGTGGGAAGAAACTTGGCATCACAACCGACCATGAAATAGTGATCCTGTTTATAGCCAGTCAGCGCAGTTTTATCACCATATACTATGTCAATCTCTGGAAAACATTTGTAGCCAAAAACCGTTCCTAAAAGTTGTGACGCAAGAAGATAAGCGACTGGCATATTTTTGCAAGCTTTAAAATTTTTTCGCACCGTTGTACTTCGTGAAACGGTTAATACAGAAAAATCCTGAAAATAATGATTGATTAAGTTCCAAATGCCATAGCTGCGTGCTTGAAAGATGAACATCACACCAGCGCTGGCGCACTATATATAGGTAGTAATGCAGTTTTTGGCTTTTTTAATTAGAGTTGTTCACTTAAGATTAAACACATTGTATAGGTTGCTATTGGAAAGCAGACTTGCTAAGAAAGGCCTGTGTTATGGTGTTTTACAAACGGTTCCCGCTTGGTTTACTGCCCGAAGAGGCGACGCTGTTGGTGCTGGAAGTCCTGCTACTCGTAACGCACCTCGTAACGCTACTGTCACGCTGCTGCTCGTAACCGCAACTCGTAACGCTACTGCTACGCTGCTACTCGTAACGCAAGGTTCACTCCTTGTCTCAGCAATATGGAAGCGTTCTCGGTTGGCATTTCTATTCTAAGCCGTAACATTGTGAATCAGTCAGGCACATTCCCTTGAAAACGAGCTGTTCCTTGCGATTAGGACATCGAATGGATACTATTTAGCTGTTCTGGCCTACTTCACTTTGCGAAGAACCTACGCCCGGTAATGGTTGGTATGGCATCGCCTCCAGCCATATAACTTTGATTTGCATGTCAGCGATTCACAGCGTGAATGAATTACTGTTTTGCTGCTGTTTGATTCATCTGCATCAGTTAGATGTCCGCTGTGCATGGGCGACGTTGTCTTCCACCATTGCTCGAGCTTTTGCGGCATGCCATCGACGACTTGCGACTTGTGGTATATGCTATCGAAAAAGTGTTGTACCTGCTCAATGTCAAAAGACGTACCATTCTTGCGCGCGATGCGACCGCCATGAGTAGCAGACGGGCGTGAATTTTTGTCGTGGACTGTCACGAAGCTCGTGTGCGTAAATTTTACAAAATTCTTACAAATTAACAAACTTGTAGCCATCGTATGCGCAAATTCTACCGCCAATTCACACAGTCGTCTGTGCCGTACGTCTGGCTAAAAACTGCAAACGGACACACAAGCAGACACACATTGACGTGCATCATAAAATCGTAGGCAGCTAGCAGCTCTAAAGAAAATCCTCGCCACGTGAAAGGAAACGGCCTGCCGTAATATTTCGGTACTTCCGTATTGCTTTTATCATCTATCGTTGCAACAAATATAGCAAGTGGGTCCGCAGACTACACTGCCAACGAAGCCACCACTGAGGCTCGTCACAAAAACCTTCTTCAAAGAACGTGGCTCCCTCGCATATCGCCTGCGAGGGAGTCCATATAAATCATGCATGGTAAGAGGATAAAAAAGCTTGCAAGAAAACAGTTTTAGCTCAAGCATGACGATAAATTATGGCTGAACAAAAACAGGATTTCATCTCCTGCCATGTGCGGTGTTCTGCATAGAGATTCCTGCACGGGAATAAAGGCAGTGATAGGTAGAGGTTAACAGCAACCCGATCCCTTCCGTGGCGCCAAGGCCTTCTGAAACTGTCGCGAGTTACATCACACTGACCTGATTTTAGCCCGATTGGCCTGAGGATACCAGTTGTCTTTAAATAAACCAATAGCATTAAGGTATGCATGCACGAAAGCAATTTCATGCAAAAGAATGAAATTAGCTTACAATTAAAGAGAAATAGCTTTTCATCTTCATCTGTCATGGACGAGGTTTTGCATAAAGATGTTATCCATGAAAAACATGAGTGAAGGCAGGGCCATTTTATTAAAGGTAAACGTCAACAGCATCCCGCACCTTCCGCAGTGGCAAGGATCTCTGAACAGTCACAAGCCACATCACACTGACTGATTTTAGCCTGGTTGATCTGGAGTATTAGTTGTCACAGATGTCAAGAACATCCCGAACCCTCCGCGGTGGCAAGGCTTCCTGAAACTGTCACGAGCTACATCACACTGACCTGATTTCAGCCATGATTGGCCTGGGAATATCAGTTGTCATGGAAATCAAACTGCTGCAGACAAACAAGATTAGTCGCTGGTCAATATTTTGTGTCGTGGAATGATGGCCTGCCGCAGCAGACCGGTGCGCAAAAAACATTCCTTTCCCAAAGCGATATTCCTATGAAAACATCACTCTCACCTGTGATACTGCATAATTCGTACCACCTAGCAGATGCATTTGGCTAAAACACGACCACAGACAAGGCTGTGTTTGAAAACCAAACCCAAACCAGCCCGCATTTACCGAAGTGAGGAGTTTCGTACTCGTTCGAAACTCGCGATGTGCTTAACAAATCAGCTATATTCTTTGCATGTGCCCATATACACGCGTCCATGGCAGCTGCAGCATGAGTTGTGTTTTGAAAGGCTGAAAAATTGATAATGATTAGACATGACAAACACGCATGTGATTTATGGCCATGCCATTGCTACAATGCGTGGTAAATATTAACGTGGTGCATTGTAAATTTTAGCTGTTATAGCACACGCAACTAAGCATTATAGTCGTCAGTCAGAAGTGAATCGGCAAAAAACTTGCGAGTGGCTTGCAAAAGTGACTTACGGGTTTCGGAAAAGAAATTTTCCAGTGGAAGTTGGGCTCCGGCTCGCGAAGAACGTAGGCATATTGTCGGCCTTCACCGCGCAGAATTAGGCGGAAGGCAAACTACTCAGACGATACCAAAGAGTGGCAATACATTGGCAGCTATGCAGCGCGCATGCGCCAACCGTTCTGCAAGATGCTGTACGATGCGCGGTGTACAGCGCAGGGCGGGTTGTGTGCATCCGGACCGTGCAATCGCGACTCACATGACCAGCCAATGCATTTCAACACGTCTACGCTCTATAGTATACCCAGTAGACAACATTGAAGACCGCAAACAAGAAGGCGTAACAGCGAACGGACCACTTTCAATGCCTCTGGCCAGTCTCTGGCTGTCCCAGGAGCAGGGGTTTGACGCTTTGGCCCAGCGGCTGACCTGGATTTGCTTGATGCCGGTCGCGCTGGCACGGCAGGGTGTAGACGGAGCTACGGAACTCTCCTTCGTCTCTGCCGTCTGGTCCGGCCCAGTCTGCGGTCGAGGCACGACCCAGGCCGCATTAGTAGCACACTGAAAAACGCTGAATGAAAAATCATGGATGATATGGTAAATGATAACAAACACAATCTCAATTGTGTTGTCGAAGGATTCTTGTGTTCTTGGGCGCCGCAAAACCTGTAGTACATGGCTTATTTGTTTGATTGTAGGCTTTTTTGGTCGGCTCGTCCAGAGTCCAGCCGAAATCAGTTTAAATCATAGGTTTGGAAAATGATGAACGGGAGGCATATTACATGACTTAACACCGTCTCAGTCCTAATGACGACGCGGCTTATAGCTTTCAAACCTTGACTATCCCATCTCGCAGCCTTGATATTGCCTGCTCACGCCGTGAAATGGACTGAAAAAGGTGGACTTTGATTTGATACATCACAGGACTGGACAACAAATGCATTCAGTTCTATGGAAGACAACCTGCGCTCTTAGCCCATGTAGCAGAGAGCTACGAAACGTACTCTTCTGCCAATGTGGCGACAGGTAGCTCAAAAAATAGGTTTGGAAATTTTTTACAAGCGGATTATTAAAATGTTTTAAATATTTAATCAAAACCCTACAACGGATGCATTCATGAAATAAAAGCTAACGCCAGGCAGTGCTTGTTGTGTGGGGCCCGTTCTGTGCCACCCGATCGTGCGATTTCAGGTCAACGGCAGAACTTGGTGGTGAATGTGTAACGTGTCACAGTGCTCAGCACATGCCCTGTTCGCTGACCTCACGCCACTTGCGGTACGACCGCTTACACTGTCCGTAAGCCATCCCAGTCTGGGGAAAATAGCGAGCGCCTAAGAGACTCGAACCCATTCAGCTACGAGTAAGTGGATCTGAAGCCAATCAACAGGGCTATCGGGACAAACATTTTGAGATATAATTGGAGATACTTCATGCTACAAGCTTCTTGAGACTGATTGTCGCAAATTTTTTTCCATAGAAACACCATAGCCGATATCGCTATGACTGCGGCACACAGTATCATCACATTTCCAAAACAAAATGTCTGCCTGTTTGTCCTACCAGAGCAGTACTTTTGTGTCGCACCATTTTCAAAACAAGTCAGACACGTCTTATGATGTCGTCGTTGCAACGAAACGAAAAAATGCGTTGCATGCAAGTACATTCGTCTTTCCAGCAGTATGAATTAGAGCCGATGTTCCCGGTACAAAGTCCATTTTACGCTAAATTATACCTTAACATGTAGAAATATACTCCAAGGGGCAATTGAACACGGGTAGGTTTGGAGGATGCGACCGGTTTTTATCCGCAGAATGACTTAACATTGCTGACCGCTATCCGTACCAATAGATAGAATATCCGCAAACATTGGATTCGACAGCAACAGCGGTGAAAATCTCTGTGACTCAGCTGCGACGTTCATTCATGAACATGGTGTAAACAATTCAAGCAGCAGGTCGGCATTGACTATCAATAGCTGTCGACGTGATCCTCACGTTGCGATACATAAATGGCATACGATTTATGGAGCTATGGACATAACGTTCAGACAGGCCTCCATGCTCGTCGCTGGCGGGTTGTCTGTGTGCCTGCTGTGGGTCTTCTGTGCATGTCTTTCATTGCGTCGGCAAAAATAAATTGCAGTTTTGTCCTCTGTTGGCCCATGGATCAGGGCGTTCGTGATCCACATGTTCCACGCTTGCTTGCTTACGGTGAAACTACCACGCCGTCTGGAATGGCGTGCCTTTTGTTCCCATCGGGGTTCGGAAAGATGTTGATCTTGTGGGCGGGCAAAAAATGAATATGTTGACCTTTCCTCGTCCCTGGGTCACTTAATATAAATCACACATATTCGATGCCTGTTAACCTCCAAAAAACCGACCACAGCTCGTTGGTCACCATACTTTGGTGATGACCTGTGCAACTAAAGTTTGTTATCTGCTCGAACCTGATGATCACGGCGTATTCAACGGTGCAGCAGAAGCAGAACATCATGCAGCCGATCATCCATACATCCATGGCCTTGATGTAGCTGACCCGTGGGCCCGACTCCCTGAAAACAAACGGTGAAATAGGAGCCATGTGAACTTCCGCCGACTTGGCTCCGTTTCGTCAAGGAACGTGATTGTTATCAGTGCAATTAGTTCTGGCGTTCAAGTGTCGAATAAATCCGGATTCACCGTCATGTCACATTCACAGGCGCGAAAAAAGTGATACTATACAGGGTATTTGCAAACACTGCGCACAACGAAGAGCAATACGATTATCCAAACATTTGTTGCAAACGTTAGTCATAAAAAAGTCATGACACACCAGCATCGCAACATTATTTGTTTCACAAATCCCTGCAACGTGGCTTCTTTGCTGCCCACTCTCATACAGTGTGTCTTTTTCGGTTTGATTGGCGCGTATGATGAGGTAATCTGGGCACACTGCTTTCTAAAATCTATGTTGTTGGACTTTTTCGCGGTAATCGTGCAATTCCTGAAATATGTCTTCCAGACACATCCTTTATTCAGATTCGGCTTGTTTTCCCTCCGCTCTCCACACCAAACCACATGCCATGCGTCAAGGGCAGCATCATAGCTTTCACAGTATTCCTCAGCATGAACAATCAGATAGTTCTACGACCATTTCCATCATCTTTTCCCATTACACGTTATACTCAATTTTTACGCACGATGTAGCCCTACAGTGCACATACCCTCCATGGTCCGAGCTACCAAGGTGTCCGGGAGGATCTTAACGAAGCTGCTGCCTGAAGTCAGCAGTGGGACCTACCTGTGTCTGCCCGGGCCCTCCCCCCCCCCCCCCCCCCCCCGATGTCCCATATCCTTTCTAATGTCTCAAGCGAAGAAATCGCCCTATGCCTCGCTTTCATATACCACTCAATCAACGGCGAAGAAAGCATAAAGCACAGTTTTTAGGCTTGCCTTGGCACAACCCTTGATGATCGCGTTTGGTTTTCACACCCACACCCCTCACATTAAGGACAATGACCATAACAATTACACCACAAGTTTTGCACAGTCCGTCACCTGTCTCGAGAAGGCGATTCGACCCACCCTTTTCGCACGCACTCTTGTTTTTCACTGATGATCCAAATCTGAGGAAGTCGTAGATGTGATCCTCTGGGGCGAAGTCCAAGAAACTGTTTCAGCTTTACCCACCTGCTTAGGTTTTTTTCTGCTGAACATTCAGCTTTTCTACAAGTCTGATGCCACATTAAAGCACCGTAAATCTAGTCTTCAGTCATCTTCCCAGATTCAAAATCTCCTTTTCTTTTCATCCGAAGCCACTCATCCGTGACTCATAACATTTTATTCCATATTCAACACACATTTTACTCCTTTCAGTCTACATTTAAGGAATTTCTTTCTATGCGTTCGAAGACAATCGGACGATGATGAAAACCTCAGGGCAGACGCTGCTTGCGAAGGCAGGCCACTCAATCTCCCAGACTACGTGTATAGCTATGTGTCCTGATAAAGCACGCTGCAGGATGGCCGAAACTATTTATATTCACGCCCAGACTAAGTGGATCTTGATCCCAGGAACGGCATGCACACCGCATCAAGCACTTCTTGAGGAAGCGATTGAGCAACATGGGCAAACACCGGTCCAAAGAGTTCGCCCGCCTCCGAATGGGGCACGCCCCGCGCGACCAGCGATCACGTTTTAAGTTCGATCACGACCAGCGATCACGTTTTAAGTTCGATCACGACCAGCGATCACGTTTTAAGTTCGACCACGATCAGCGATCACACCTCTACTTTCGTGTTTTGTGTCGACCTTCTCCGACGCTCCAGGTGGGGCTTTAGTCCCAATCGCAGGACATTCGTCACCCAATGAATGTATGATGATATAATCACCAAATCATTATGTTTACATCCCATCACTAGCTCCATCCCACAACCGACTGCCCAACTGGTAGAAGCTGAACAAAACCACACGCACGCTCGTACGCACGCACGCTCGCAACGTACGTACGTAAGCACAGCCTACGTTCTGAGCTCTATCGCTCATGCGTCGTCGACTGCTGGAAGGGTGCCCACTTCCACATGGCGATATTGTAGCCTAAAACTGAGGTTTAAGAGAGCGTATGGGTCGACGGCAGCGGCAGTTATCCGGCGCTGGACAAGTGGAGTATCAAGGCTCAACTTGTTCTGGAGACATCAGACCGGACGACTGGAAGCCGAGACAGAGAGGTGGTGCTTAGGGCCCCGACAGCGCGACAAGTAGTCGGCCAGTTCGTGCCGCACGTGGTCCTGTACCTCTCGGCGGCGAACATGGTGGTGACGGCGAGCAGAGTGGTGATACAGAGTGCCATGCGGCCAGGCACTGCTGACGCCGGCACCAGGAACGACACGCCGGCCACAGCCACGAGCAGCGCCGACGGCAGGTACGCCTGCAGCAGGTAGAACTGCACCTTGCGCTGCAGATTAAGCCGGAATCCGACCGCCGAGTACGTGCCTGCAGCAAGGTCGGACACGGGACGATCAATGCCCCATGTTCGGGAGCAACAACACGACGCTGAGCATGCGTGGCGAGAGGGTGAGTCATGTGTGACCTTCCTTGCATCGATGACTTTCCTTTTTGTTGTCTTGTCACGCGTAGATGTGATGTGCTTAAAGTGAAGGAACAGAACCCCAGGCTCACATTTTCAACCCCAACGCATCCAATATGCATCGTGTTATCATGGGTTATGGTCCTGGGTATTAGCGGGAAGCGTTCGCCTGGCTATGCCGCTCACCATTGCCAAGTATTTTGACAGTTTGATTACGACTTGGCCGGCGTGGGAAGTGACCCGGAGCGTCCTCTCATGTGGGTCAGACGGTGGGTCCCATAAGCAGAGTGTCATATCAATACGCCAACGGATGTACCTAGGGGCTGGTGTAATAACCAGACGATCTCTCAGTTTTCCAAATTGTTTAGTTCCCACCTTTACGACAAAAAAATGTCCTCATAATTTTGATATCGAGCCACACAAGGATGCCATGAGACCCAGGAGTGTCACCAGAGTCAAGATAAAGAACCTGAAGAAGTTCTTCCAGTGAAAAAGTCGCCCCCTCCCAAAAAGTCGGCAGATTTGGCCAGCTTCATTTCGAGGAGGTCTTTTTTTCAATTTTTTTGAATTTGTTTTCCATCTAGCTATGCCGGCAGGCGTATTCATTGAGGGAGCTCTGGACTGAACACAAGGGAACCGTTACCTGCCCCGATAGGAGGCTTGTGAGTAGATCAGTGTGGGGCTCACTTTTTTTCTCCGGTCGGGAAATGAAGGGTCTTTCCGTCTCATCTAGGGTACTTAACGGCTGCCATGCTGGCGACACGGAGGCCGGCCGAGGCCACCTGCTTGATCCGGTGGCCGTGTCCCCCTGGTTCATTCGGTGTCCCTCAGAGGGATGCATCATACATTGGATCGCTTTCCTCTTTGGCCTATGACGCTCTCTGACTGAAACGGTTGGCCCGGATCAACGCACGGACCTCGCCGATGCCAAAGGGTCCTTTGGCGGCACGGAGGGTCGAATAATTGCACAGGGGCCGCAATTATACTTATCAAGGTCGTGGTCGATACGAGGCGTACGGCTCGTTCTTCACTGCCCCCGCCACCTGACACCGGGCTCATGCAGTATCTCATTTGGGATCCCTTGAGTGTCATTTGTCACATCTCCATTCACTGGCAGAGCACACTGACCGCCGCAAGACGTCCTGTGGCAATGGGTGCCATGTCCCAGCCCTTTCCCCAAAATAAGTTCTGGTCGACCCGAGACCCCTTGCCCGATGCAGAGTTCCGTGCTAGGACCCGTAGGTTCCTGAATGACTCGGGCCTCCCATCATCTTAGCAGCTCCTAGCACAGGGGACACCGGCCTGACTGTTCGGTATCGATGACCTCCGATAAACATGGGAACCATTGCTGCCCTAGATGTTCCCGGTTAAAGGACGAGGCTCTCTGATTGGTGTTTGATGCAGGTCGGGTCCTTTAACACGACTTTCGGCCATTGGAAGGTCATGGGCCAGCGCGCCGGGTTCCTTAATACGGCCTCCGACCGGCCCTTCCGTTTCTTTAATCGGCCCTTAATTGGTGGTGCCGAGGACACTTGGGATACCTCCCGGACCTAAGGGACAGGTGCACCCCGTGCCCCACCTTCTCCCCTGATGGTATATCTAGGCAAAATCAAGCTCCTGGCTAAATGAAATCAATGCCTTTCAACAGTCAGCTTCAGTGCAATAATTTTCAGTCTATGGGCTTGCTGCGCTCACCACACACACGGCGCGTACTTACTCAGCGAGCGTCAAAAGCCGATGGCCGAGGGCGCCGAGCCACGGCCTTACAGCGGACTTCGCGCCGCGGTAGTCTGCGCTTGGCGTCGCATGTGACGTTACCTTCCATGCCGATAAACATGTTTATTGCGGCGTGGTGATGAGTTATTGCATGATTGCAATGATGATTAAAGTGGCGATGATTTAGTGTAGCATTTTCTTTCATAAGCAGAGGGAGCGGATCGAGGTGCATTTACGCGGTCTATGTGTATTCGACGCATGGAACAGAACAGGGCACCGCCGATTCTAATGATCGATCCAGCCAGAGTGGCAAGCAACATAGCCTTGTTTGCGCCACGGCCATGGGCCTTTGTGTCCATGTGTCCTCGGAAACCACCGCTGCTTGTTGGCATAGCGAATTGGCCACCTGAGCCTGGCGAGCAGTGCGGTGGTTGGTGACCGCAGAATCGGGTACGGAAACTGGCCAACACTATGGGCATTCATGGCCCCGAAACGGAAATGAGTTTCTGTATAACTTTACGCGTGGTCAGGTCCATATCTGTAAACACCTAGCTGTTCTGGAAACGCCCACTTAGTGCACATGGTGTCATGCAAACTTCGCAGCCCACATTGTTTATTTAATTGTCATTAGGCGTTTCCACGATATGTTAATGTGCTGAGAAGCTCTGAACAAGTTCTTAAAATGATTCTTTGAATTGTTATTACATTCCATACGTTTCGAAAAGATAAATAGTGCTTTCATGTAGTTCCATTTAAGAGAATGTTCTACATTTGAAGATATGGAATCAAGCAACAGATATGAAGAAGTAAGCTAGTTCATTTACAAACATTGGCATATTTTAAGTGGCTGCTGCAGACAATCATTTCTCTGTTCAGTAAATACACTCATTAAAATGTCATTGCCTGATTACGTCATCATACCTTGCACAATATTGATTCGAAGCCAATCGGCGGTCGTTACATCTGGAAACCGCGTTTACGAGCGTCGGATACCAACGAACAGACAATCATGTTTGTCTTCTTAGCCTTGATCGCCGCAGAGCCAACGGAATGGCAGGATTGGAATGACGTTATTATGACATTAGGGATGCCTGGGTGACATTGAAATAGGTTCCATGAAATGGTCTGCACACCTTTGTGGGCGTATAGCTCAGAAATTAGAAGAGTTTAGGTCTTAAGAAGCGCCGGGATGTGGACTGCACCAAGTGATCTTCAAAATGGTTATTTCAGTTCAAAGCGCAGTAGGAATGCAAAACCTTCCCTCTCATATGCAGGGTGTAAGCCCCGTGAATGCAACTAAACGTAAGTTTGTTATATTTAACGAGACTCTTAATGGACATTTTTCAGCCTATGCTTTCAGTCCACCCAACTTCCAGGAAAATAATATGCCTGCAATCAGCAATGTGCATCGGCTGAGAGCGTTGAATGCTGGCTGCACCATTATTGTTTACATCGGTGCTGTGTGGTGCAAGGCGGGCTTTGAGCATCATTTCATCTAAGGATCATTCCTCCTGTAACATATTAAGGTATGTAAGCCCTGTCCGCTCTGTAAGTATCATAAGCAGGCTCTGTGAGTACTCCAAGAAAGCTCTGTATGCACTGCATACATATGACCAGGGCTGTTATAAGCTTGATATAGGAGTTTGCTTTGTGGCGTCTGCGTCAGAGATGCAACCGAGCGTTTTTGAAAGGTTTTGAAAAGGTTCGGTAGGAGGCGATCTGGCATCATATTAGTATATAAAGTCGTAATCTTGCTTATGACCACCAAATGCAATTTCATCAAACTGCGCGTCTTTATAATCATGTCTTAAATCTCTGTGAGACATTTTCAGCCGAAAATCGTTGACAAAGATGTGTAGTTAGCAAATAAACGCATTTTTTCAAGTTTTATACAAAAAATTTGCGCCGCGATCCTTAGTGACAACGGCTAATGTTACATATAACAGCGAAATGTCAAACAAGAGCGATGCGGCGTGACGATAAGTGTGTAGAATCTGATGCACGATAGATGTTGGCAGACTTGGTGGACGCTGATGTAATGTTAGCTGTGTGGACGTTGACAATTCGCAACTTAAATTATGTATCGTGCTCACCAGCATGTTCGTAGATGCAGTTATAATTGAGCCACCCGCGTCGTATGCAATCAGGAAAACAGAAAACAGAGCGGAGAAGGCAGCGATAGGACTATTGTGGTAAGAAGCCTTGTCAAGAAAGACCCATACAATACTATTCAACGAAAACCTATTAAGAAAATAGGACACAAGATAGCGAAGTCAGAGGGCAGTCCGTTTTAAGGCCTGAGGGGCGACAGCGACCACTCCATTGGTATGGGCTGGTGGAGCCGTAGCACTGACAGGCAGACGAGGGCCGACTGTGGGCCCGTGGCCCCGTACCTGACGGGTATGTTGACTGGCTGTGGTAGCCGCTGCTGATCGACACCGAGAACTGATGGTTATGGAGTTGTGACGGCAGGCGCACGCCGGCCGGGTGCCAGCTGATGTTGAGCCGCTCCTTCGGGTAGCCGCCTGAGGGTCAGCGGACGGCCACCTCTGTTACACACCGCCCATGATCGTGCCGGCCCACTCTGCTGCAGTTTGGTACGGCGATGGCACGACCCTTCCTTGTGCTGACCCGCTCTCCAGCGTTGTGCTCTGGAAGGCACGTAGTAGCGCCGGCTCGCTCTTTTGTTGCACTGAGCGGAAGCCACCCACATACGCCGGGTGCTCTGCTTCCCTATATCCTAATTTATCCTGCGATTACCAACAAGAGCGGCGCTCTCCATCGTTGGGTCCACTAGGTGCTGCTAAGTCATGGAAGCCCTTGCAGCCGATTACATGACGTGAAGCTTTTTTGCGCTGTCTGCAAAAGCCCCGTATAGCAATTTGCTTTTTAATAAATCATTTGTCTAATTTTGGGGAACAAATTACCCCAAGTGTTCCCGATAATATACTGATTACGGCACGATTAAAAACCGTGCAAAACATGCCGGCCGTTTACGAAGCTGGTTGCCATGGTCAGCTTTCCTTACGCTGTCTTTCGCGGGAAATCTTTTCGCATAGATAAGATAGCAGTTATGGCCTTATTCCTCGGAGAATATTCCTCGGAGAAGTGGATTAGTTGATATTTCGGCAACATGCCTTTATCGAAACAATAGCAGAGCTTCACTTCTGCTCTTGTTTTGATAAAGGCATGTTGTCGAAATATCAACCAATCTATTTTTCCATTCTCCTGGTTTTTCTCCGAGGATAAGGCTACAACTACTGACTTATCTAAATGAATGTTCCTCGCAAATGCACTGAACAATTTACGGAAATCTTTTTCAAGTGATAGAATGTTAAGCTGCATGGCTCGATGCCCAAGGGTATCATTCGCAGCGCTGCCTATCATGACAAAGGCAACAGAATACACTCTACGGTTGTAATAGGTGAAGCCATTTCTCATCCAGATTCATGCCACTGGATGATTTGCCACTGCCGTTCATGGCTACCCATGCCAATAGTTTGTTGTCATGCCCTTATGCAGTGAATATTAATGAGATAGCGCTTGGGTTACGTGTCTATCCGGGCCAAGCACTGCATGCCACTCATGTGTACGGGTCCGACATCTCGCTGGAATGGTTAGGTCTTGGTTCACTGACTACACTGTCTTCACGGGTGAAAACGTCACACACTCACTGCTCTCCATGATGATGTCGCAGGATTGCCGGTCCAGAGGATAAGACGTGTACTTCATAGGGCAAGAATACTCCATCATAAGTCTGTAAGCAGTATCCAACAAGTCAGGGACGATGGCCGGTATGAGCTCGTTACTGCAATCTGATGATATGCTATGCTAGGGAGTTTGGTACACGCAGGTACTAAATTCATCCAAGACCAGCATACAGGGCATCACCTCTGCCGAAGACAAACTAAACGTGCAATGGAGACAGGCGTTTAGACCCTGCCTTTTGTTAAACATAAAAACAAAATCTTAATGTGGAGGCGACCATTTTTCGGATTAACTTTAGGCTGCAGGCGTCAGTTTGTATTCACCGTTTCGGCCCAGGAAGGCCCGGCAGTCTGCAGATCTTATGAAATACAGAGAAGGATGGCTGGTTACCAGCCATGTCACAACAGGCGTTCCCCGTTCGGATTTGCAGGGATTCGAACCAGGGTCACCTTGATTGCGAGATCAGTATCCTACAACTGAGCTAACCGTGACAGATACACAGGTGTTAAAACTTGGTATCATTCATCTTTTGGATATTTGGCGATTTTTCCGTGGCATTGGATGCCATATTGGACTAATGTCTACACCTAATTTACTGATGGCTTTCTCAGCCAAAGGCATGTGTGCTGCCTCCTTCATCTTATTCAAAACTTATTTTCATTGAACATCTAGAGCACCAAGTAACATGACATTTGAAAGCGAGGCGCCCTGATGCGACGCACGAACTTGACGTACAGCGATGACAGGAAGATGGTCTTGTTGGCGTAGACCTGCAGAGCCTCGCTGGGAGTGAACAGCTTCTGCCGGCGGATGGAGGTGGCGTGGAGGAAGAACAAGTCGGGCACCCACAGCCGCTCGCGCAGCAATGCCGAGAATGAGATGTGCGCGTCCCCCGTCATGCCTGCGACCAAGCCAGCGAGCGTCAGCGTCGGGCCGTTGCCCGCGGCCTGGGATCACATGGGACAAATTATTTTTGTCTGTATATTAAAAGAGCCTGAGCTGCCATGCTCACGAGCTATGATTACATGCGTATAAACTGACTTAAATATATAAAAGACTTCGCGACGCTATGGAAAATTGTGGCACCTGGGACTCATGGGATGCCTTGTTTTGTCCGCGGCTCGCTCAAATTGCTTGTTCTCTCCAATTGAAGAGTTTTAAAAATTGTTCAAGGCATATTTTACAAAACTTGCCACATAACTACACTATTTTAAAAGCCTGTTACAGTCTGGCGTGAGAAGTGTACGGTTGCATGAAGACGTTATTTTGGGAAATTACCGTGGGTATTACTGACCTTCGGGTAGTAAGATGCGGTCGTCCATCCATATACAACGTAACAGAAGAGACATATGAACGGACTGAAAAGGCAACGGCATGCGTTATCATGTTATACGAATATGAACTGGAGCTTCTGTGTGCACACCTACTGAAGGGTGTATGTCTTGCATTTTCTGTTTTTCAAAGAGACACCTTTGCGGGTAGTTTGAATAAGCTATTGATTTTGTCATCAATGGAGGGTCCATTGTAGCCTTATGTACGTAGGTCTGGCATTTTCTGTTTTTCAAATAGACACATTTGCAGGTGGTTTGAACAAGCTATTCATTTTGTCATCAATGGAGAGCCAAATTGTAGCCTTTAACAATGACAATTCAATGCAAATATGGCTTCCCGCCCTTGGTATTGACGGAACAGGTACGAGCACCGGTGTTTAGGGGACGAACTGCACCAACCAACCGCACGGAAACGACAAGTGCGTGTGATAACTAATGCAGGATAACTAATCCGAGCAGGGGAGAAAAAAGCTTCCGATTTACCGGATATGACCGGCGACAAAAACTGACACTTTTTCGAACCACTTGGAGACAAAATTGCGAAAATGGAAACAAATTTCAACAGAACAGACCATATTACAACAGATCATCCCAGCTAGACGAAACTCAAAGCTTAGTATTGGACTGAACTCGGTAACGCTTGCACCGTGAGCATGTGTAGAGCACGTGTCGAAACGTTGACGTTTCGCTGTATGAGCGAGTTGAGCCATAAGATCCTTCCGAACATGGTAGCTTTAATCAGGATAGTTTTTAGCAGGTGACAGGAACATACTACAAACTATACTTTATCAGTGCTGACGCCACAGATCAGTGGTGACACAGTGCTTTTCCAATGCCATTGTCATAGCTTTAATCAGGATAGTTTTTAGCAGGTGACAGGAACATACTACAAACTATACTTTATCAGTGCTGACGCCACAGATCAGTGGTGACACAGTGCTTTTCCAATGTCATTCGGATCAGTGCTTTTCACATATTTTCAGCCAGTATTCACTCCACATACTTAGCAGTATAACTAGGCTTATTACTAGTCGTAAGAATCGTGGGTGGCTACAACATCTTGCAACGAACGTGATTAGTTTGCTATGCAGCGTTTTAAGGCGTCATGCATTTGAGACAGCTGGGCCGGATTGTTCGCCACGCGCAAGGCTACTGGAGAAGGCTTCGCAAACGTGGCGTGACCATGGGACTTAAATTCGGTAGCCCGCAGTTCGGTTTTTGGTTGATGCTACGAAAAGGCTTGTAGATATTAATCGCAGGGTTTAAAGCGGTGATTTCGCCATTGAACTGCATGGCAACCCTGTTCTGCACCTTTATTTCAATGTTATATGAACAGATATAATAATTTTGCATTTCAACCCGTCTTAAGTCAAATCAAGACTGGGACCTGACTGCAAAATAAATCCTACTAAATCACGTTTCCTAGTTGCTGCACCCACCCCATATTCATTGAGGCCAACTTGCGCGAATATCTATGTGCAAAGTGCTTTTGAAAAAGGAACATGTTGATGTGAATAGATAAATATCAGGTGTAATATTCACATCAAATGGATTAATGGACAATGATTGCACACATATTTTTGCACTGCAGTACCGTCATGGAGTGAAATGAGAAAAAGGGCAATGTGAGGAGGGCAGGTGCCAAGAACTTCCCTGTTGCTGTGCTATGATCTTCCCATGTGCTGGTTAACTCGCAGATCTATAATTTTGGGTGGGATAGATAAAAATAGTGTGCAGAGAATGATATACTCAGCGCCCTAAAATATCTCTATCAGACTATTCCGGATCTAAGAAAGGACTTCGACTTTTTGACTGGCAAAAATGCCAAAACTTGCCAGAAATCGGCCCATTTTAAGGAAAATTACACTATCTTGGACTGAGATAGCACGCGCTGTGTTTAAGCCCCCGGGGTTCAAACCTCACTAACCCCATCAGGACACGCCAACCCTGCATCTACCCTGACAAGGCTCCCACTAAGGCAAAAAATCGGCATTCCAACTTCTCAATGTGTGTCCCAGGGTGTTGCGAGCCCGCATAGCCCGCCATATCTCATTTTCATCATATGTCGTTGTTGGTGTTGCATGTTGTGCTCTTTTAAACAGACTGTTTCTAAGCACTTCCGGCTAGAATTCTTCGGAATAAATCACTGGTGAATGGGTAACCCCATGTGTCTGTCGGGGGCAGGCTGAAAGCGCATTGCAGCAATAATGTTGTGGCCCTGTTGCAAGCCGACGTCACTTCCCAGCTGAAAATGCTTCACTGAATGCGCTAGGTCGAAAACAATTCGGCTTTTGGACATATTCATGCTAAACCAGCCCGCAAAGAACAGCGTTTTCACGCCGCCACAGCGTTGGTGACATATGATTTAGTCCCATGATGACGCCACAGCATTGCTACCCAGAATGCAGAAATGCGGGGCTTGGCCACGCGGTAATGCGTTGGGTTCAGTGCAAGGCTGTGGCCTGGGATGCGTATTGAAACGTCCAGAACTCATGAAGTCTAGTGGTCAAAAAGTCCAGAATCGCATCATCCAGCGCTCACAATATCCAAAAGCCGTCCGATATTCCTGGACACAGGGGAATCAGACAGTCCGGGCTCGCAGCGTCCAGTGTTCATAAAATCCAGTGTGCGTGAGATTCACGGGTTAGGATATTGTCATACTTTCTCGCGGCTCTTTCCGTAATGGTTCGAATATTGCCCGATAGAGGGCTACCGGAGCCGATTTCGCCCGCCTCAGCCGACGAGTGACGTCATGCGGTACAGTGTTGTCCAGTTAAAACAAATGCGCATGGATATGGACAACGTTCTGTTTGAGCACACAAAGTTTGCCGCGTCAGCATGCCCTTGGCAACAGGCACATTAAAAATTTAAAACTTTGATCCCTGGCTCGTGTCATCGGAGATTGCAGTAATATATAACGCGAATATTGTATATATATATATATATATATATATATATATGTAACGCAATATGGTGGCATATAGTAATTCCGGTTGCAGACTACTCGGCAGTAACTGCACAGTATTCGTGGAAAGCACTTGTCGGGGTGCCTGCTGTTTGGTATTGCGAGCTATGGATGAAATTCTCCGCGGCATTTGTTTTCGTTGTTCACTGCACGTGTTGGTGGTGTTTCTTAGTTTTTTTTCAAGGAATTGATGACTGATGTGTAAGGCTGACTAATTTTATGTCTGCTCCAGGTAGGCGCGCATACAGATCTACAGCTCCTGGCACGCTCACCTATGCTGTTAATGATTGTATTTGGCTGATTCCCCTCCCTCCCCCAATTTCAAATTCTCCACACGCTCCTGCAAACGGGGCTTGTTCTGAATTATACATGCCTTTACTCTCAAAGAGAGGGGTTGGGGCCGTCTCATAAGCTGAATCCGGGTACTACTACGTGGTGAGACACGTTCAATGGCCCAGCCTACAAACAATTCGTTTCTTCAATTAGGTACGTTTCCAACGGGCGTGCTTTACCAAAACAAGTTGGTTGGCTCATCGATGAAAATATAACGAAGAGTGCCGCGATGATATGCCAACAAATTGGTTTCTCTCCGAATTTGGCTCACTTTTTCGCAAATCTACAGGCTGCAACCCAAGTTACGGCGGGGTATAAAACGCCTGCAGCTGAATAGGGAACCGCACTCTTGGTTGTAAGAAAACAGGAAGTAAAAAAGCGAACGTTGAATGCGAATGTATTCAACTGCCTGCCAAACATTACGTAAAACACTACGCACGCAGCGCATAGAGGCGCTGTTGGTTCACCATCTGAGCAGCGGAGCCGAGTGTTTGTCACTGAGCTGGTTTGCGTTATATAAGCTGAATGAATTGGGAGAATCGTGAACTTGTATTCGCCATTCACTTCATTAATCCTGACATGCTTTCTTCCTTTTCACTCTTGACACGCCTTCTTCTTCATCAGCCGGACGCAGTTCGTGGCGCAGACGGGCGGTGATGACATGGTGGTTGGTGGTTAGGGTGCTCATCTCTGGGCTTTTGTATCCTGGGATGGGGTCCTGGCCACACCACTACCGCATCCCATGTACCCAATCCCGATGAATACGTAATAGAGACGTTCCGCCTCGAAATAGCCCTAGGAGCCGGTGAGACGTAAAGCCCCAATCGGTATTACAGCCCGTCTGTCAAACAAACCGCCGCCTACCAAATTTGCAGGCAATGCTTCCGCTCAATCACTGTATATATGTGGGAATAATAAGGTGCAATCGGTTGGACGAGGGACTCGGACACACAGCCCAGCCCAGAGGCTGCCCATCTCGAACGTCCGGCCAGCAGCCACGCCCGCGGCGGGCCGGCGGACGAGGCAGCCCAGCCGCCAAAAAAAAGAACGCATTCACGCGCGCGCCGGCCCTCGTCCGAGAACAGAACCCCGCCACACGCGCGCGAGGCCTCTCCGTGGGGCAGCCCGTCCGCGGTCGAAACACTGCCAGCCCAGTCGGGCACGCCGCCATCTTCGCGTCAGGGCCCGGAGCCCCTGACTCGGTTTCACTCGCTTCGTCGCGGTGCACATCCCGGCGGACCGGGCATCCGGACATGTCGGATATTCCGGGATCTCGCTCGTGCTGGACCGGAGCCGCCGCCCCCCCCCCCCTCCACCCTCCTCCTCCTTGACGGGCGCCTTAATGGAACAGCCTCGTGTCAGTCAGGGACCAGCACCGGACAAGGTCCTTCCGCCCGCTTTCTCTAAGGCCCAAATGCGTCGAAATGGGATCACCGTGTCATTTATTAAACCCGCTACGCTTGGGACTTCTTTGGGTCAGCGAGTGGCCTCGCGTTGATCCAGGATCAACCATCTCGGTCCGAGGGCCTTCGGCGTCAGAGAAAGAACCAATGTATCATGTGTATTTATAGTGACCGATTGGAAATCTGAAAGGGGACGTAAAGGTTCTTCAGCCCCAATCGGGAAATGCATGGGGTCTCAAGTATTGGCTAAAAACTCTATTGGGGTCTAGCTGTTAAAGGGGGGGGGGGGG